TGCTAGCGCAGTGTTTGAAGATGATGTTGATAAACTAAAGGACTTTTTAGAAGGATATTTGGTCAAGGTAGATGGTTTATAAAGTATTCAAAACATAAATTTTTATATTGTATTTAAAGAAAGGGTAATTTGATTTATTTTTTTAACTATATTGTTTATTTACTGTATTTATTTTATTTTTATTTTTTTTTTGATTTGCTTTGTTTAATGTCTGATTTCAATTGTTATTATTTATTTCTTTATCCATTTTAAAATGAAATAATCCATATTATTTACTTGTATTATAGTGGCAATTTTATATAATCAATAAACCTGCTGTCTAGTGTATCTGAATATTTATAATTGTATCCCAGATTTAGCGCTTGTATTTATAAGTCCAAATATATCTATATTAATATTTAATATATTTTGAATACAAGTTACTCTCAAGCTGCAAGATTTTCTTTTAAATATCAAGAGTCTATTAGTAAATTTTTAGTAACCTCATTGTGTTGAGAGGGTTCTATTTTTCTTAAATAGTAAATATCCATTGACTTAAATAGCTTATTTTATAGCGCTTTTCATATTACTAGAGATGGTCAAATCGCGGTTTCTACAAAATTCCGCGCGTGATTATACATGGGTGTCTAAATTACTCTTCTTAATAAAAAATTATTTCGACATTTAGTCTGTCGAAATTAATTTTTTTAGTGGCGAAATTAATTTTATAGTTGTCGAAAGTTTTTGTGAAATTATTTGAATTCTTTATGCCAAAATACATTAGGTAGTATAGTTACTTTGTGGAATTCATATAAAAAACTAGTAATATCGAAATGTTTGTCGAAATTACTTTTTTTAAGAATAATTTAGACACCCATGTATACGCGTGATATGCATCTTCATTAAACCTAGGTGTCGCGGTTGATCCTCGATTTTGATTGGCCAACGACTGTGATCAACAAAATTCTGGCCCACATAATTTTGGCCGGAATTTAGTATTTTAATTCTTTTAATTGAAAAAAATAGAAATTTTTAAGGTTTGGTCCTGTGCAATGGTAAAATTGGGATCACATTAAAAATCCCGCGAGCTCTAAAAAAATCCCGCGCGTGCCCATCTCTACTCATTGGCCGTAACGTTTAAGGTTAGTCCATATACATTATTACTATTTAAGTATACATAATCTATAAGCTTATTCAGTATAACAAATATAAATTAAAATAAAGAGTATATTGTGTAATAATAATAATAATTTAAATATTTTATCTTACTTCTTTTAACATATTTGTTAAATCTGGTGATCTAGTTAATGTTTTAATTCCTTACTTTACATGATGTACCATCTAACAAGGTTGCTAAAAATCTAAAAATCTGTCATCAATCATTTGAATATTAACTAATCTTTTAAAAGGAATTCATTCTATTACATCTTCGTATTTTGTAACTTTAAGTTGAAATTCTTTAATACAATCATCGATATCCTTATTTCCACTTGTCCATCCTTGTGTTATTTTCTGTGGGTCGCATGTTTGGCACCAAGCTGGAGATGTATTATGTCTCTTGCAATTTGCAGACTTCCCATGATACTTATATCTTTCTTAGGCTAAACTCATCGTCCATAATTTTAAACTGAACAAAACAAAAGATAGGAGAGGGTATTATTTTATGTGTTACACGGAAATACTATCTTATAACGCAGTATGTAAACACAAATACTAAAAACGCAACACAAAACGTACGTACGTATGTACGTACGTACACTAGGGTTGTTGTTGCAGTTATAATTTTAATGGTGCACCAACAGATTTTTGGTGTGTAGCGCGCCATTTAGTGCACCACTATACTATATTATCGTTAGCAGGGATATACTCTTCAGCCGGCCATGCTCATATTTGTGTTCGGAAATTTTCGAGACAGTCTAATATGAAGTAAACCTAAATATGATTGACTCGCCACCTCGCATCATATCTGTGTTTTGCACCACCAGTATTGGTGCACGCCAAATACTCTACATCAGCAACTCTAACGTACGTATTATACTGATTATTTATTTTTATGCATATATCATTTAAATGTAAAATCAAAAATAAAACGTTTTGTTACGCAAAAAAATTTTATGAACTGGTTGGTATATTTAAGTGAGTAAAATTCACCTCCGTTAAGATAAAAATAAAAACTAGCCTAAATCAGAAAAAAATTTTTTTACATAATACTTATAATCTATATAATTTTAATAAAGATCATTCCATAATCCATGGAATCCGTAAGGAACGACTTTACCAAGTTCCATTTCTGCTCTGGCAATTTCTTTAAACGATTTAGCATCTAAAATCAATAGAAAACTAGAGTTTTTTGTACCATCAAGCAGCTATATAGTCTTCATCCGTAGAAGCTACATTTCTGCTCCTATAAGTAACAATACCGTTTTTAATTTCGAAACGATGAACTATATAAAATATGATATAGGTGATCAATGTAATAAACATCAAACATCTTTAGAATATATTTAACAATGAGAGTAAAATCATTGATGCATACCTTGACCAAGTCCATCAAACCAATGGTCAAAAGAAAATACAATTTCCGGATTTTTCTTTGATGGAATTTTAAAAGTTCCAGGGCCAGTACGATAAAGAACGCCTTCTAACCATTCGGGAATCTTTCCTTGGACCCGAAGTGTAACTGGATCACGAGTCTCGGGACAATTTTGAAGTCCTAGATGATTCAATTATTGTGAAAAATATGTTTGCATATGATATTTCAATCAAAATGATATTTCAATCAAAATGATATTTCAATCAAAATGATATTTCAATCAAAATGTTATTTCAATCAAATGTTATTTCAATAAATGTTATTTCAATCAAAATGTTATTTCAATCAAAATGTTATTTCAATCAAAATGTTGAATTTTACATTCATACCTTGTGCATATGGCCACGGATTTTTTTCTTGGGCAGAAGACATAACTGAATAAAATTATTAGGGCAAATAAATAAACTGCTGCCAAATCCGTATGAAAACTGATAAAGACCTGAAATTTTTATTTATAGCAATTACATCGATAATCTATATACTGTAATACTAAAATTCTAAGCCGTCTATTCGGTTTAAAACGGATCTAATTGGTCATTTCTGATCATGTGATTCGTGTTACTGATGATCATGATTCGTGAAACTAGTCTTGCGAACAGTCTAGACTGTTAACAGATAGTTAAAAAAAAGTGGACTTATTCGATTACTAAGGTCGTATAATTTAACCTTTCTTATAACCAATCAAATAGTTTGGCTTTTATTAATGACCATATTTGTGACGGAAAAATATTGTATTATTTACCAGGAACTAGATAGACTGGATACTGAATAATCTATTTATTTTACACCTAGATATGGACATACAAACGTGGCAGTATGCTAGTGATACACGATTTGTCATGCATAGTTTTGAACGAGACAGTTTGGAAAATTTTCGGGACAAGTTAGCATTTAATAAGTACACATGCTTTTGTCTGCTTTATTATTTGTGACAAATCGCAACACAAAACTTAATACTATCTTACGTAATGCAGAAAGGTCTGTATGAGTGTCGTCAAGGGAATACCTGTAGAGTTGTAAAATTACCGTAATTTTACGTAATTTTTCGTAATATTCGGTAAATTGGATTTTCATGGAATTTGGTGATTGAGGAGATATAATTTAGATCATATATACAGTATATAAAATGATGCATTAATGCTGGTAGAACTTATGTAAATCCGGTACTTTATATTAACGTGATGAAAATTTCATGAAATTTAATTTACTGCAAGTTAAGCAACTCTAAATGTTAATTTCCGAAATCAATTTTTACAGAAATGAGCTTATCAGAGACATGATTCATTAAATAGAATTTATTATAAAATTTATTATTGCATATAATTCATCAGGGATTTCTGAAAGTTAAAAATTCCGAAAGTCAAGAATACAGGAATTCCAGGTTTTCCTTTCAGTGCACAAAGCTGTACCATGGCATGCCATACCTGGTGGAGTAAAATACTCCCCTTAGCATAATACCATTACTTTTTTTTGGTAATCTTGATGTAAAGATCTGGGTATTATAATCGGATAATTAAATACGAATTTTCGTATAATTTACCGATTAACAATAGTATTTCAATTATAGCACCTCCAATATAGTGCCGGCGAAAATTTTATTCAATGGAATTTAAGATCTATAGCCGGAGGTAGTAACGATAGTAAGATGTAAGAAAGTGTTAAAATTCTGAGCCGTAATTTTTTGTAGAATTTGCGCTCTGTTTTTCTTGACGACTAGAGATGGGCAAGGTAATTACTTGTTACGTGAAAAGTTAAATCATACTATGCAACAGTTTAGCATTTTATTAGTTGTAAGTATACATTATTAATAAATTGTTGCATAGTGTGTGATTTAATTTTTTGCGTAATAAGTAATTACCTTGTTCATATACTTATATCCAATCTTTTTTCCCATATATATTTTGTGCATCAAATTGAAACTACGTCTGATTAAAATCATTAGAATTTCCCTAAGATCTAACCTAATCATAGACTTTTATATGATTGGTTGTTTAAATCAATTTTTTTTACACCTATACAGTTTAAAGATTGTTTTAAAAAAAAATCAAACTACAAAGAATAAATAAAAAAAAAAAAAAGTACAGTATAACCTCGATATAACGAAGCTCTGGAGCTGGAGGTTTTTCTTCGTTATATCTAAATTTCTTATAGATTCGTTATATCGAGCTAATTTAAATATAAAATTTGGAATGACCTTCGTTATACAACTGGTGTTCATTATATCGAGGTTCGTTATATCGAGGTTATACTGTATAAAGAAAATTTCATTAGGTTTTAGGACTCTACAAGTGAAAAAATCAAAATCCCCTTTAATTTAAAATAAGTTAGTATGATAACAGCTTATTTTTCAGAAGTCGTTATTATACTAATTTCACTAAAACAAATAGTGATGCTCTACGACCCTAATAAAACTTTCTATATTACTTATTCTTTGTAGTTGGATTTTTTTAAAGAAGTACTTTAAACCGTACAAATAATATAATATTAAATTGATTTAAACTGCCAATTATATAAAGTCTTTCTATGAACCCACCTGAATTATTTTTCAGTTAATTCTGTTAAGTTTGTGATTCCGACTTAATAAATTTAAATAAATTGACATATACAGTACATAATTTAAGATCAGATGATTAATATAATAAACATTTAGAAGGTTTATTAGTTTGTAAATTGTCAAACACTTAGATACTTTAGATCTTCTATAAGTTAAAAAATCTCTGTCATTTTAGAAAATCTCATTTTTTTAACAAATATTAATATTCTTTTATTTTTGGAATCTTGAGTTATATTTGACAAATTCTTGATTATATCTAATCTTTAATATTAGCCTATTCATTTAATATATTTATTAGAGGTTTTATAATTAATAATATTAAAATAAATAGAAGTTTAAAGATTCTACTTCTAGAGATTGACAAAAATTTTATATATCCTTATATACAGGGGGTACTATATTATTGTGGACACTTTTTAAAAATTTATATAGAGCTAAATAAATAAGATATAAAGCTAAAAATTATACAAATTA